CGGGGCGCCCGGGGCAGGAGCGTCCTCGCTGTCCTGGGCCCTCCCCGCCTCCACCTGTCCCGGGGGAGTGCAGGGTCCTGGGCTGTGTCCCCCGCGCCCTGGGCTCCCGGGCCGGGGCTCCCGCAGGCAGCGGGAGCAGCCCCCTCCCCCGGAGCCCCTGCCTGCCCCCAGCTTCTCCCGGAGGCCCCGCCGGGCGCTCCTGCCCGTTACCGAGATGGGCCCTGGTCTGTGTGGGTGCTCTCCCCGGGCGCCCCTCCTGTTAGTGACCCCGGGAGCCCGGAGGCCCCGCTGCCTCTCCTGCTCCTGCTCCTGCCCGGGTTCCCTGCTGAGTGCCTCTCCCTCCGGGAAGAATCCGGTTCGGATTCGTTAAAGTTCCCGCTTCTTCTCCGGCGCTGGGCCTTCCCGTCCACCCTTAGCTGCCCGGCTTTAGCCCTTAGCCGGCGTCTCGTGGGGCCCCTCTCCCACTTGATTCTTTTTTATTATATTTTTTTTTCCGCCTTCCTACCTTGTTAGAAGCGAAAACTCTTCTCTCTATAGCATTCCAGCTGTTCTCTCTTTAAATCTCAGGTCGAATTCGTAGGTGTTCAGGATGATTTGAAAGCTATCTAGGTTGTTGGTGGGACCAGGTGACTTGGGGACCCTTCTCCTGCTGCCCTTGCCCCGCTCTTCTGATTCATCATTTAAATATAATACCCAGTGCTTATCACAAGTGCCCCCCCTTAATATCCATCACCCATTTATAAATACCTATCCCCCTACCCACCTCCTCTCCAGCAACCCTCAGTTTCCTCTCCATAGCTAAGAGTCTCTTTAATGGTTTCCCTCCCTCTTTTTTTTTTCCTCTATGTACATCTGTTTCATTTCTTAAATTCCACATATGAGTGAAATCATATGGGATTTACTGTCCTCTGACTGACTGACTTCACTTAGCATAATACACTCTAGCTCCATCCACATCCTTGCAAATGGCAAGATTTCATTCTTATTGATGGCTGAATAATATTCCATTGTGTGTGTGTATATCTATACATATACACATACGTGTGTGTGTATCACATCTCCATTACCATTCATCAGTTGATAGACATTTATGATTTTTCCATAATTTAGATATTGTTCATAATGTTGCTATAGACATTGGGGCACATGTGCCTTTTGATTCAATATTTTGTATCCTTTAGATAAATACCTAGTAGTACAACTGCTGGATCACAGGGTAGTTCTATTTTTTGCTTTCTGTGCAACTTCCATCCTGTTTTCCAGAGTGGCTACACCAGTTTGCATTCCCACCAACAATGTAAAAGGGTTTCCCTTTCTCAGCATCCTTGCCAACATCCTTAGTTTCCTATGTTGTTAATTTTAGCCATTCTGACAGGTATTTTTTTATTTTTTTTAAATATTTTATTTATTAATTCATGATAGACATAGAGAGAGAAAGACAGAGAGACAGAGGCAGAGACACAGGCAGAAGGAGAAGCAGGGTCCATGCTGGGAGCCCGACTCAGGACTCAATCCCAGGACTCCAGGATCATGCCCTGGGCCAAATGTAGGCACTGAACTGCTGAGCCACCAGATATTCCCAGGTATTTTTTTTTTAAGATTGATTGATTGATACTTATTTGCGAGAGAAAGAGAGAGGGAAAAAGAGAGCAAGGGAAGGGGCAAAAGGAAACAGAGAGAGAATCTCAAGCAGACTCTATGCTGAGCATGGAGCCCAACACAGGGCTCAATCTCACCACCCTGAGATCATGACCTGAGCTGATATCAAGAGTCAGATGTTTAACTGTCTGAGCCACCCAGGCGCCCCTGACAGTTACTAAAAAAAAAACACACTTTTAATAGTTAATTGTATTAGGAGAACAGCTACAAATATGCCATAGTCTAAAAACAATCTGAGAAAATCTACAAGTACTTATATAATATCAGCAACAATGTTAAATTGACTTTAGTAGGTTAAATTTAATAATAAATAATTTCTGAATCTACAGTACCTCTAAAGTCTTACCATTCAAATATAAATCTATTTCCTTCTTTCCTTTAATATCAGCAGACTTTGAATTTTACTAACTGTATCTACTAATGAAAAATGAACTTTTCTCAATAAGGTGAACTAAAAATGAAGAAATAGCAGTAAATTTATAATACTCATTTTTTCTAAATTGATTTTAGCCACAGCTGCATTAAAAATAGTTCACCAGATGTGATATTCTGTTGATTTAGTTACATAGCTAATGTGGCCCTAAGAAATAAAAAATGACTTTCATATATTACATCACCATAGAGAAGACATAGACAGCAAAATATTATCTTGCCAACTTTAGGAAACAAGGAAACTATAAGGAATTATTTAAAGCTCCATAAACTACCAGAGAATGTGCAGTAGTGAATAAGATAGGCATTTATCTTTCATCCCCTTTAATTTTCCATTGCATTATGCCTCAGCTTGCCAGATGTGTAATGTCAGCAACAAAAATGAATATGGAATAACTGAACTTAGTCTTAAACCTAGCAAAGAAGTATCATCCCCAAAGGGGAACATATTTCTAAAAGCACTTATGCCTATTGGAGTGATAAAACCTACCATTGTAATTTAAAACATTTTGTAGCTAATATAATTATTCAAATGTTCCTTTTGCCTATGTTGGCAAAAAATTAATACTTTGGTAATCCTCATGACATTGCATTTGGCATTGGATTCTTAGATATGCATCAAAAACACAAGCAACAAAAGAAAAAATAAGCTGGACTTCATCAAAATTGGAAACTTTTGTGTTTCAAAAGAAATTTAAAGGAAACTGAAAAGGCAACCTTACAGAATGGGAGAAAATATTTGCTAATTAATTATCTAATAAAAGCTTCATATCTAGAATCTATAAAGAACCCTTACAATTCAATGACAACTCAAACAACCCAAATAAAAAATAGGCAAAGGACTTAATAGACATTTTTCCAAAGATACACAAATGGCCCATAAGCACATGAAAAGACACGAAACTGAACAAATACTTGTACACCCATGTTCATCGCAGCATTAAGCACAATATCAAAAGGTGGAAGCAACTCAGAGTTCCATCAATGGGTGAATGGATAAACAAACTGCATATACATAGGTAAGAGAGTATTATTTGGCCTTTAAAAGGAAAGACATCTGACACATGCTACAACATGAAAGAAACATGAAGACAATTATGCTAAAAGAAATAAGCCAGTCACTAAAGGACAAATACTGCACAATTCCACATATTTCAGGCCATCTAGAAAAACTATATTCATAGTGACAGAAAACAAAATGGTGGTTGCCAGCAGCTGGAGTAAGAGTAATGCAAAATTAATATTTAATGGGTATAGAGTTTCAGTTTTGCAAGATGAAAAAAATTCTGGAAATGGATGGTAATGATGGTTTCACAACAGTGTAAATGTACTTAATGCTGCCTTTATCCTACACAAGTAAAAATGGTAAATTTTCTGTTATGTGTATTTTACCACAATTAAAAAAAATGGATTGTTCTAAAATGGGCAAAGGACTTGAATAAACATTTTCCAAAGAAAATATACAATGGCCAACAACCACATGAAAGGACAGTTAACATCACTAGTCATTAGAGAAATGTGAATCAAAACCGCAATGGGATATCATTTCACATCCATTAGGATGATTAGAATTTTTTTTAAATGGGCTATAGCAAGTGTTGGCAAGGATTTGGAGAAATTGGAATCCTCTACATTTCTTGTGGGAATGTAGAATGAGGCAGCCACTATGGAAAACAACTTGAACAATTTGGCAATACCTCAGAAAGTTAAACATGGAATTACAATTCCTCTCCTAGTTTATTGAAAAAAAAAAAAGAACTGAAAAGCAGTATTCAAACAAAAACTAGTGCAGTAAAGTTCACAGCAGCATTATTCATAATACACAAGCAGTGTTAACATTCTTATCTAGGCCAGGCCCAGGGCCAGCTCCCTGTTTAGAGAGTCTTCAACTTTTCATAGCCAACAATGGAGTCTTTTCTGTGGGTGCCGTATGGGCAACCTCCATGTAAAAACAGAAGATTAAAAACATAAGGGACAAGGACCAACCTAGAGATAAAAAAGGATTACTGTAAAATTACAATCTAAAAGGATAATTTTTAAAGAAAACCTAAAAATTGTCTAAAAAGTAAGAATGAGCAGGAGGATAGAGAGGAAGATAGAGAAAAGTAAAGGTTGGTGAACAAAAAAAATGTGATGAGAAGAGCATTTTAAATGCTCTTTTAATGTGCTTTAATTCCTGGGCAGCACTCAGTGGCTGAGTGGTTTAGCGCCACCTTTGGCCCAGAGTGTGATCCTGGAGACCCAGAATAGAGTCCCATGTCAGGCTCCCTGCATGGAGCCTGCTTCTCCCTCTGCCTGTGTCTCTGCCTCTCTCTCTCTCTCTCTCTCTCTCTGTCTCTCATGAATAAAATCTTAAAAAAAAAAAAAAAAGAAAAAAAAATGTGCTTCAATCCTTATTACATGTGCCTCTATTATATATGATCTCATTTGATCTTTATCATCTCCCTTTTACATATGAGAAAAATGAGGCACTGAGAGGTTGAGTGGTTATGGCTATAGCATGTGAATACACAAGGGGAGATTTCAACCCAGGATTGATTCTAAACCCCAAAAAGGTTATCTGATATAAGGCATACACAAAACCTTTAATTATTTATTTCTAAAGCCAAAATAACTTACTATTATTAAAAAACATTCAGCAGTAATTATTTTTGAATAGTGATTTTTAATGTGTCTGCATTTGCTAAATTCCTATAATAAACATATATTCATTTTGAAATAAAAAAAATTTTAAAGTGTATCACAGAATTGTTATAGTTCACATCACCCCTATGAATAAATATTAATTTCAAAAATATTGAAACTTAATTTAAATTATTTTCTTTTATAAAATATATTTTCTTTAAGATGTATATCTTTTGCATTTTCTTTTCTGTAGTAAAAATGCACTGAAAAGAAAAAATACTTACCTGTGCACTGTCCTCCATTAGTCGGATCACCATAATAACCTGGCATGCAGTCTTGACACTGCTTTCCTGTGGTAAGATTTTTACACTGTTCACACACATTATTATTGATGCAAGTGCTATGTCCATTACACTGGCAAGCTAAATAAAAGAGTAAAAAATATTATGAATATTTGCAAAACAAGATCAAGTATAATAGCTATCAAGACAAAGAATTTATTTTACAAATTTGAATGGTAGAAATGTCCAAAGGACATTTCCCATTTTTTTTTTATGTAAAACCTGTGACTCAAAATATTAATGCAGGACAATATATACCATAAATTCTGTGTTGAAATTTTGTCATATGCTCCTTAAACTATAGGGACAAGAGATAAAGTAAAACATAAAAGCTATACTAAAAAGGGAATAAACTTTTTTTGAGAGTGAAAGAATGAGAGAGCATACACCTGAGCAGGGGTAAAGGACAGAAGGAAAGGGGGAATCTTAAGCAGGCTCCATGCCAGTACAGAGCCTGATACAGGTTGGATCTCATCACCCAGACATCATAACCTGAGCCAAAATCAATGGTCAGACACTTTACCAACTGAACCACCCCAGCATCCTAGAAGGGAATGCTTTTCTAACCCTACCTGATTCATGTGAATATTATGTCTAAGTTATACAAACACAAGAATGAATAATGTAGCTTTCGTAAAAAATGTTAAAATACATCATAATTATATTTACACATGAAAACAAAGGATCAATAAATATAGAAAACTTTGTAGCTATAGGTCCTTCAAAAAACTCCCATGTATGATTAACAAAAATAGCACTTTTAAGTTAATTTGCATAAATGTTTATCTTCCTTGGATAAGAAAAGCTTCAAAGCTTAATCAGAATTCTATTGAATGTGAACTAAACAGAATCACATTTAAAACTTGAGATTTTTTCATGTCTTCATCATATAAGATTTAATAGGTTTTGGTATTAACTTTACAACAGAATTTCAGATAAGAGATAAAGTTCATATATGAAAGCTCATACCTTTAATGCCTATTTGGGGCATAATGACTTAGTTAAGGTAACCACCTACACAAACACCATGTGGCTTCATTGACGCCCTCATAATCATTTTCATCATTATTACAACTAAGATAGCATTTAATTGAGCTTTCTCTTACTCTAGCCAGCAAAACCAATATTCAGTCAATCCCAATTGTTTATGGCCAGCATCTAATCTGATTGGTCTCTGCACATACTGCATCAGTTTTACAATACATAAATACCACCCCTTTGTCAGATAGTATACCAGGTGATATATATAAATTGTATCATTTAATCCTCACAACGATTCTATATGGAAGGTACTACACTGGGGACCATTTCTAAGATAAGGAAGCCTGGGTTATGCAACAACCCAAAGTCACCCAGCTAATCAATGGCAGAAACAAACACACAATCAGAAAGCATGATCAAAAGACCAGGCATTAAATACCATACCTCTTGTATATAGAAAATTTGAAAGGGATAGAGAAATCCTAAGAGACTAACATAGGGTCATTGTCAAGAGTTAACATCAAGGAGTAAAGAAATACACAGGTGGGATGGGTGGCGCAGCGGTTTGGTGCCTGCCTTTGGCCCAGGGTGCGATCCTGGAGACCCGGGATCGAATCCCACATCGGGCTCCTGGCGCATGGAGCCTGCTTCTCCCTCTGCCTGTGTCTCTGCCTCTCTCGCTCTGTGTGTGTGACTATCATAAAAATTAAAAAAAAAAAATCTTTAAAAAAAAAAATAAAACGTCTAACGCAAAAAAAAAAAAAAGAAATACACAGGCAAGAATGGTAAAAACCAAACACCTATACCTTATAGAAATTTTCAGAGGCACAATTCTACTGTAAAATAGTAGAGAAATAACAAAGTCATTATGGGAAAATGCTAAATAATCACTCTTTATATCATCATTCTCTTTATAAAAATAAGGAAAATTATAATACAGTGTTTGCATTTTATATTATATTATGAAACAATTTAGACCAAAAATGTTCATGATAATTTAAGTGAAATCAAGATGCAAAACATTATATTTAGAATGATAACAATTTGGGATCCCTCGGTGACTCAGCGGTTTAGCATCCGCCTTCAGCCCAGGGCATGATCCTAGAGACCTGATATCAAGTCCCACATGAGGCTCCCTGTGTGAAGCCTGCTTCTCCCTCTGCCTGTGTCTCTGCCTGTTTCTCTCTCTGCATCTCTCATGAAAAAATAAATAAATAAATCTTTTTTAAAAAAATAGAATGATAACAATTTTGTTTTAAAATGTATAAGCATGGGGGTGACTTGGTGGCTAAGTTCGTTAAGCACTCCACTCTTGATTTCAGCTCAGGTCATGACCTCACACTTGTGAGGCCAATCCCAGGGTCAGGCTTCATGCTCAAAGGAGTCTCCTCCTCTCCCTCTACCTCTCCTTTGCCTTCTGCTCCTCCCCCTGTTCGCTCTCTTTCTCTCTCTAAAAAAAATTTAAAATCTCAAAAAAAAGAAAAATAACAAAGTTTAAAAAAATTAAGTAAAATCTATAAGCATGCCTATTAGAAAAGTGAATAATGGTTATCATAGTTTAGTAAGTTTTTTACATCAGTTTTCTATAATAAGTTCATATGACTTCTATAATAAGAAACAAAAATGTTAAGAACTTTAATTTTTTAACATTTCCTTGTTGTTTCATAGAAATGCAACAACACTTATTAATTCAGTCAGGTAAAAACAAAATTTATTGAGTGCCCACTCTATAGAAAGTACTATCTGAAAAGGTTAAAATAGGAAATGGGTTACTATAAGTATTTTATGTATCTCCTGGCAAGATTTTTCATCTCAGAAAAACAAATGCTTTAATTCCTGAATAAGATGTCTAAATTTAGCAATCACAACTAACATCCTCCCTTCAGCTTACCACTAAAATAATAAGGAAACTTGGCAGCAACTAAAGAATTTAGGTATGGTGACAATGACACAAATAAAACTAGAAAGTAATAAACTACCTCTGGAAATTAAAAGAGGATCCCTGGTATAATGCTACCCACTGTCCCTTCCTGAAAATGAGAAGTTCAGAAGGCAGTTCTGGGCCATACGGCAATCACTAAGAATATTATTGGCATGATGCCATACAGCTTGTAGAAAGTATGACACAGAAAACTCTAATGTTTGAGGTAATGAATGTATCAGACAGAAAGCTGGTACAATTTACACCTAACTGCAGGCCGAATTTGCAAGAGAAGAAAAAGGGGATCCCTGCGTGGCTGGGGAGGTGGGGGGGGGCATTGTCATAGCTTGTAACTAGAATGCTAGCAATGACAATAGAGAAAACATGTTACAGAAAGTAGAACACAGGCATAATAGCTGCAGCAAACACAGACAAGAAAAGGATACACAATAAGCCTATGATTATGTTTTATTCCCACCAGCATCAGGGTCCTGGATCAACAGAGTAACAGAAGCTTGCACCTAATAGTTCTTCCAGGATACACTGTTACTCGAAAGATTCTAATAACAACCTGGCGGAGGAACATGAATAAAACTAAAGAGAAGCTATCCATACTATTTTGTCTAAATTTTAAAAACAGCCCAGATGGTTCTTTATCTATGGATACACAAACAGACAAAAAAAAGAAAAGAAAACATTATGGAAAACTCAGCATTTGATATGCAAATAAAGTACATAGTTTTGAAAAATATGTGCTCTCTAAAACAGATGTAAAACATTTAAAAATATCTGCTTGACATTTTCAATAAAATTCAAAAAATATATACACAGAAAATTTACTCAAAACATTTTTAAACACATACCCTATCTTAAAAGGGATTATCAGATGCTAGAAATCAGAGCTGATTCAAAATAGTTCAAAATAAGAACTTTAAAGAGAATTTTGAGGTAGCAACAGAATTTCATTATACATAGGATAGACAAGCAAGAATAAGAGACATGAGTTTGAAAACGCAGCATGGCCAGGTGATATGATCTCTAGCATCCAAAGGAAGATTTCTAAACTGAACCATATTTAAAATGCTGGAAACCTTCAGTTTCAGCCCCTATCTGTGGAGAAGAAAACAAGGTACTAAAGCACATCACATACCTAATGAAGCTAAAAAGAACCTTAAGGATACTGTGGTCTGTGTATGAAAGAAAAAAATCACTTGTGAGAACTCGAAGCCTAGGTAAGACATATATGTTGAGTAAAATTCACATTGTCCACATAGTAGAGAAACTCCAACATCAAATACTAATGTAAAATCAGTTCTTTAATCAAGAAAAGTCTCATCCACCTTGCAAAATCAGATGTAATGGCCCCATGAAATACTCCTAAAAACTCAGGTCCTACAAACACAACACAGAATATACACTAGGAAAATTTTGTTGTTCTGTAAAGGGCCAGATGGTATAGGCTCTGCTGATAATATAATGATATAATTTCTATCACAGTTACTCATCTCTGCCATTATAGTGCAAAAGCAACCATATGTAATCCATGAACAGTTGAGCATATCTGCATTCCAGTAAAACTTAATTTACAAAAATAGGCAAGGGACCATGCAGGTCTGACCTTCAGGCCTCGGTTTGCAAACTTCTGACCTGGAAGGGGAAGGAGAGGAAAAACAAACAAAAACACTTACAGAGTAAAACTTCAAAAAGAAAATTGACAAACCATCAAAAAGAAGAGTCAGAAGAAAGAGGGAGATAGTAAAAATGAGAATTGAAAGCCCAAGAAGTGGACTCACAGAACAATTAGAAGACAATGAAAATATTAAAATAATTAAAGACAGAAAAAACAAAACTCTGCTTAAAGAAGTAAAGGTAAGTATGATAATATCTGATCAAATACGGAACAATAATAAAAAAAACAGAAACTTTTTAAAGTGAATGAAAATTGATGAGTAGAATAATTTAATGAATAAAAAATACACTACAGGGACTCCACAGTAGATTAGAAATGTCAGAAGAAAAAATTAATAGTTCAATAGAAAATATGTAAGTACAGAGAGAAAAAAGAATGGGAAAAAGTGAACAAGACCTCAGATAAATGCAGGAAACCATCAAGTACTCACACCTACATGTACTGGGAGTGTTGAAAGGATGAGAGAAAGAGAAGAGACTAAAATTTACT